ATGGACCAGCAAAGGACATGCTGACCCAAGGGCGGCCCATCAGGAGACAGCCAGCCATTCAAAAAGAGGTTTGCTTCTGGGGCTCTGGGCCAGTGTAACCAGCCCCATTCATATCTAGATGAGAACAACTCAAAGGTGGGTGGAAAAGTGAAAAAAAAAATGAAGGACCATAAGGTGGGAAAGCAGTTAGCCCCAAAAGCACTGGCGCTCATCTTTACAATAAACACTCTTTATCACCAAGGTAGCTCAACCATCTTATGGAATCCTTTGCTATTATTACAGTGCCTTGTATTCTTTTTTTCTAAGAGAGAGAGAGAATTTTTTAATATTTATTTTTTAGTTATTGGTGGACACAACATCTTTGTTTGTATGTGGTGCTGAGGATCCAACCTGGGCCGCACGCATGCCAGGCGAGCGCGCTACCGCTTTGAGCCACATCCCCAGCCCCAGTGCCTTGTATTCTTCTGTTACCCTTGTGACATTGAATAATATTATTCATATCACCACAGCTATGATATTTGAAAATAGATATCACATGTTTAGCTTTCTTATATTCATCAGAGCACTATAATCCCTCAACACACATTGGACGGACAGATGGATGGATGGATGGATGGATGGATGGATGGATGGATGGATGGATGAATGGATGGATAAACAACTGACTCATGGAGAACTGAAAATAAAATCCAAACTCCTTAAAATTTATAGTATGCTTCCTCGTCTCCAATTTCCATCATTCTCTACATGCTCCAGTAATGCTAAACTTCTCCCGAATCTCTTCCATTTTCCCTGCCTCTACACAAATCCTTCTCTCTCCCCTTAGTCTCACAAATGCGGACACTTTCCTCCTTCTCTACAAGCTCCAGTGCCTTGTCTCTATGCTTCCTCACTTTGCATCTGCCTCCCCACCCCCACCCTCACTCCATACCACAACCTCTCCACAGGCCAAGTGTGCTCTTCAGCTTTAGGCAGCTAAAAGAGTTAAAGAATACTTGGTTTGCTGTTTTTAGCATGTGGTCCCACACAGTGTCAACTATGGGAGAAAAAAAAAAAAGAAAGAATTTTGTTCCTCAGTTTAAGAAAAGAACTGAGTCTACAGAATACTTATATATCTATAGATTGTGGACATTATGAAGTTTATTGCTCTAATATACAGAACTTAAGAATCCTTTTTAATATTTGTTATTTTTAGTTATAGTTGGACACAATACTTTTACTTTTATTTATTTATTTTTATGTAGTGCTGAGGATCAAACCCAGGGCTTCACATGTGCTAAGCGAGCGCTCTACCGCTGAGCCACAACCCCAGACGGAGAGCTTGAGAATCTTAAAGCAATAAAATTAACAGAAAGCAGCCTTTTACTCCAAACTGAACTAAAGATCAAATGAGAAGTCAAACAACTCGTGCTTACTAGCTGAGCGTACCTGGGAAGTTCCTCTATGTGGCTGGGCCAAGATATTCTCATTATAAAATGGGCACAATCATGCCCACCTTACAGAATTACACAGTATGCAGAATAAATACGAGAACATATCTAAAATACCTTGGCTGTGCCTGGCCAACCTTCTTAAAACTTATTATAATTACATGACACTACAGAGAGGACTAGCTGATAAAACCAAAGAGTATGAAGGCCCAGTGTTTACATTATAAGCAACCCCTAAACACCAGCCCTTCTCTCTCTGTAAAACAGTGCCCCCATAAGTCTTCTCTAATTTTGTATTTATCTAACATTTTGTTTTGGCTATTACTTAGCTATATTATAAATAAGTAAAATAACTTAAGATCTCAGATGCCAATCCTACAATTATGCTGTGTGTGTGTATGTGCATGTGTGTGTGTGTGTGTGTGTGTGTGTGTGTGTGTGTGTTCCTTGGGATTGAATCCAAGGCCTTGTGCATGCTAGGAAAGCAGTCTACCAACTGAGCTATATCCCCATCTCCAATCATGCTTTTAATAATTACCCATAACATTTTTCTCTACAAGTTTGAAACTTTTTATAACATGGCCTCCAATATTCTTTAAAACCATATCGTGCGCTCAATAGAACTTCTGCTAAATTAAAAAGGATAAAGTTGGTAAACACATCATGTAAACATCCATAAATATGAAGTCTGGCTATCAAGAAAGTATCAAAAGCCCCATTATGGAATAAAAAAGACATGGAATACATACACAAAAGAGTTTTATTCAGCCAGAATGAGGAATAGAATTATGTCATTTGCAGGAAAATGGATTATCTTGAGGATATTATGTTGAACAAAATACACCAAACTCAGAAAGTCAAGGTTGTACGTTTTGTCTTATGTGGAAATAAGAGAGGAAAAAGGAAAAGAAAGGTGGGGCATATCATGAAAATAGAAGGAGATCAACAGAGTAGAGGAAATGGACCAGCAGGTGGGAGGAGAAGAAGGAAAGAGAAAATACTGGGGAATGATATTGGTCAAATTATTTCATTATACTGTGTGCACAAATGAGTATGTAACAATCCCACTATTGTTTAAAATTATAATGTACCAATAAAAAATATGGAAAAAAGACCAAAAAAAAAAGTTTTTAAATGTTCATGGTGAGAGGGGGAAAAGAGTCCTATTATGACCCTAACACAGTCGTCTTTCATCTAGGTCAGTTCCCGCAACTGAGTCCTACACGAGACTCCAAACTACAGTGCATCAAGCAAGCTGTAATTTCATGCAGATCATTTTACATATCACCTAGTTTTTACATAAAGAAAAACTGATAATATATTTTCTTTATTTGATATAAGGAAAAACATATTTGTAGGTTATAAAATATACATATTATAAAAAAATAAATATCAACTATACATTTAATGACCAATTTATATCCCATTACTTTTAATTTCTTTATTTTTAATTATGGTAAATTATACATAACATAAAATTTCCCATCTTAGCCATTTTTAAGTGTACTGTTTAAATATGTTCACATTTCTGTGCAGCAAATCCCCAGAACTCTGCATTTTAGAAAACTGAAACTCTACCATGAAACAACCCCCAGTTGCCCCCCCACCCGGAAACCACTATTCTACTTTCTGTTTCCATGATTTTGACTGCTCTAAATGTCACACAGCATTTGTCCCTTTGTGACTGGTTTGTTTCACTCAAAATAATATCCAAGGTTCATCAGGTGTCAGAGTGGCCTTCCTTTTTAAGGGTTAAGAAGAGCCCATTATTTTTAAATAGAGCAAAAGTAAGAACATAATTTTGAAGAAAGGATTAAGAATACTAGGGGCTGGGGATGTGGCTCAGCGGTAGAATACTCACCTAGCACATACAAGGCCCTGGGTTTGATCCTCAGAACCATAAAAAATGAATTAATTAAATAAAGGTATTTTAAAAAGAATTAAGAATACTAAATATTTTAATTGAAATTTCAAAAACTAAGTTAAGCTCTTTCCCTGGGTTGCTTCTTTTGGGAATGGAAATTCCTAGAAATAGAATCACAATTCTAAGACATGATAAAAAATCATGTATTTCCATTTGTTTGCTGAGGTTCCTCTTATCAATAACAAGTTTGCCTGAGGTAGGTTATCTGTTAGGTTAAACCATATAAAATTGCTGCTATTAGGCACTTTTGACCTTAAAAAAAAAGGATAATTTCATGTCCAAACTGATAATTTATCATTTTTCTTTTAAACTCATCTAAAAGATACTGCTTTGAATGTGAAGAAAGGTGTACTACCTCTTACATCTACTAACCAGGGCCCAGATTCAAGGTATTTTGTGATGATGTTTCATGATGTTGTGGTTATGGAATTATAGGGTTAATTTGGAGCACAGGCTTTTGGCTCCAGGCTTCCTGGCAAATTGGCAAACTCCTCCAAACTTTATTTTCCTCATCTAGAAATTGAGTTTAATAAAATCTGTTCTCAGAATTATTAATTAATGATTGTGATAATACAAATTAAAAGTGGGGCACACCTGGAGTTGTAACTCAGTTGTAATGCACTTGCCCAGCATGTTTGAGACCCTGGATTCCATCCCCAACACCAAATAATGATACCTAAAATTGAGGCACCTATTAAATACTGGGTACTCTTATCTTACCTCGGATCTTAGGTTAATGAGTGATTACTCTTTCTAATACGGTAGCTTTCAGTGGTACAGGAGGAGGGTATTTCCTTCACAGGAAACTTTGGCGATGACTAGAGATATTTTTGTTTCACAACTTAAGGGAGAGGAAGCTGCTACTGGCATCTAGAAGGTAAAGGCCACACATGCAACTCAATGTCCTACAGTTCATAGGACAGTGCCCACAAGAAGGAATTTTTGTCCAAACATCAATAGTGAGAAGCCCTGTACTAATAGAATTATTGTTTACAGCTCTTACTCATAAATATATATTTTTTAAATTCCAAAGAAAAATGGGGGAAACACTGAACGGAATTTCAAGTATCATACAGTGATGCACAGGAGAAAACCTGAGGCAGAGAGATGAAGGCATTTTAATGCCCCTGCCCTGTTAGATCTCAGAGCTACACAAGTTGGCAGCAAATAAAGGAAACAGGTAAAGTCACTGGGGAGAGAGAAGGTTTAAGAAACAGAGGTCAACATGACTGTTTAAAGTCATTATTTCATAAAACAAAGACCAAGGGTTTGTTCAATCACTTGCCAGGAAATGTTCTAAGACCTAAAATTTGCCAAGTAAATAGCTACGTAGTCATTTCTTAGTTTTAAAATACTCAATGCATGTAATAAGTAAGCAGACAGTTATTTAATCAGTTTTATACCCAAATGCTAAAAGGTTTTAGGTTTCAAACATTTTATTATAGAAAAAAGATAACAATGATTAAAATGTTTTGATGATAGATAACCCACTGATAAACATGGTAAATTAAAAATAAACCACTTATATTGTCTTGATGGTCGTATTAATTTTTTTCCTATTTGTTAAATAAGCGACTTGGGATATACTTTCCCACCTGAATGATTTAAATCATTTTAATATCCCCCCAAAACATATTTATACTTACATTCACTTGAACTTGAATGGACCAGTCACCAAGTATTGGATGTGAAGATACTTGAAAAGTTTTGGAAATGACTCCAAGCTCACTTTGTTGTGACAACCACTGTTGGATCAAATTGGATTTGGGGTCCTAAAACAAAAACCACACATGTTAACTATATAAAGGTGGCCCCTGTACACATGTATCCTATTAGGTTAGGAATGATGTTTGTAGTACCCTGAGACACATCCAGAACATTCCCCAAAATAAATAGGTTTGGGGAAATGTCACGTCTGCATTACTAAAGAAAACAAATCAAAATTTTTCTTCTATTTCCCCCGAAAACATCTTGATTCTGCTCCAACTTTTAATTCCTGGCATCATGTTTCCTTCTACAACTGGACATCACCAAACTTAAGGTGGTGCCAAAAGAAAAGTCTACTGTAGAAATAACAGACCCCAATTATTAGAGTCGCACTACATCAGGCACTCTGCCTTGTCTCAAATAACTCTAATTCTGCAGGACTGCATTGTCTTCACCTTGTAGTTGAGAAAACTGATACCTGGCCCAATATTCTAGCACCAAACACATGATGGAATTGAGCATTCAAATCCAGGTCTCTTTCAATTCAACCACAGCATATCAGAGAGATGTTTAACTAAGGACACAGATGAAAATCACTTGAGTCTTCCTATAATCTCCCAGACAGTGTCTCTTCATGGAGTACTCACCCCAGGCACTCCAGCAGCTATCCCAGGTTCCTCTCACATTCCCAGCCCCATCAATTCTGTCTCTTCTCTCTCTCTCTCTCTCTCTCTCTCTCTCTCTCTCTCTCTCTCTCTCTCTCTTTCTCTTTCTCTCTCCTTTTCATCCTCACAGTCCACCACCATATCCTGTTTTCTAACAACTGCAACTAATCTCCTCCCTCCAATCTTGCCCACTCTGATACAGCTTCCCCACTGCACAGTGTGATCCATCTGAAACATAGATCTGAGAATGAGGCACATGGTTGAAATGTTGAGCATAGTTCTTGGAATGTAGCAAGCAATGAGTAAACACTGGAATGATCATTCTAATAGACCAGTGGATACAGATGGCTTTAGTCTACAGAATGACTCTCCGTGCTTTTATATAGTTTACAAGGCCCTTATCAATCTGTCCCCATCTATATTTCTACGCGCATCTTCTTCCAAACAGAGATTAGTTTGCAGTTCACCCAGGAAGTCCATACATCTAGACCTCTGCAGTTGCTATAAGGAATGTTCTTCCTTCTTTGATCACTACTAGTGAAATGAGCTCCAGCTTCTTACCCTCCATACACACCTCCAAGAGGCAAAAATGACTATGTGGGCACCACTGAACCTTCAATACCTCTGGAGTTTACTCCTCTTGAATGTATCCTACTAGTATAGGCAGAAAAAAAAACACAATGTTTATTGTATATATTTTATTTTACAAAAAATTTTTTTTGTTCCCAACTGGATTTGAACTCCTGATAGCAAGGAGCAAATATTTTCTCTGATTCTTATTCTCTGTCCTTTGATTAAAATTAAAGAGCTGGCTCTGTTATTAGAAACCAGAAGAAACCTCTCTGCCAGAGTACGGAGATGAAAGTTAGGGTAAGCACAGTGCTGAAAACTGAGTAGGCAGTAGTTTAATCAATTGAGAATCAAGCAGTAAGCTAGAAACTAATTGTTAAAACCAGTGACCAAAGGCAGATCAAAAAGAAGCAGGTCACTGTACCCTTGGCCAACTCCTGAGACAAGTATGGTAACTGGCAGCTGGCTCTACTGGGCCTGTCACAGCATGAGGCATGGGAAAGCTGTGCACTTTAAAGGCCCAGGAAGAAATACAAATAGCTAATAAATATGTGCTGTTTAGTAATTAAGGGAATGAAAATGAAAACAATAAAGTACTATTTTTCTTTTTGCAGATTGACAAAGACTTTAAAAATGAACAATAATTCTCAATGTTACTTAAAGGGGAGGGGAGGGAACACCCATATTCTGCCAATGTCTTATCGTGGTGAAGGTGTCATGTCCCTCTAAACAGAGGACATCATGAACTGACATCTTTGATGACTTTGCACCTGGAAGATCTCCGTGCATGAGACAATCCCTCTAGTTTCCCAAGCCCATCTTGGACCTGCATCTAACCCTCACCAGTAAGGAAGACACAGGCGATATAGCACCACCAGAAATGATTACCGAACACAGCGGGATTTGAACAGGCCATGCATGGCACCATCGTAGCAGAGTCCAGCATTTGTGCCTGGTCAGCTCCTGCTGTACCCACACAGGAGGGCACTTAGAGTGGAACTGTGCCCTCTGCGTTGCCATAACAGCTGTGTGCCAGAGACACTGGAACGGTGGCCCTTCAAGTCACCTCTGGATGACTTGGGATCTCCATCAGCTGCCTCAGCACAGCACAGTACCTGGGGCCTGCACCAGACTGTCTCAAGCAGTCAATTCCGTGACTGGAGAATATGTCTGTAAGGACTGTTTCTGGAATGCAGGATCATATGCAAGGTCTATGTCTGTTTGACATCTAAAATCAGAGAAGTCCAATCACTCAGGATTTCATGGCCCCCTCACCTGACCAGAGCTACGTTTCTGAGGTTGCCATAGCTGCTGCGGAGTGTCAGGGCACAGTCAGAGGATAGACCCCTCGCCAAATATACCTGTTCCCACACAAGATTGTTCACCTACACCAGGAGTAACAACTTCTTAAAGAGAAAGGTCAGAGTAGAAGCCAGCCAAGCCGGCTGCCTTCACAGTGTCAGAGACCCTGATGTCTATAACATTAGGCCAAACTGACAGAGGATGTTCAAGCTAAGGCATGTTACTCATTGTCAGAAAGCCTCTGAAGCCCCTTTGTTTCCTGAGGCCAATGACAGGGGCAGGCAAAATGGATAACACCAGCAATCTCCACAAAAAAATCACTGAAGGTCCCTGAATAGGCAGTGATGGTCCGTATCTTAGTTAGGTCTTACAGCCATTCTTGGCTGGGTAAAATAATTCCCAAAAAGTCAGCCTGCTGACTTGCCAGGAGTGCTTCTGCACATCAGCCTGCGGGTGGTATTGCTAGGAGTATAATAACCAATCTTGTCAGGGGCTCAGCTTCAAAAATTGCAACTTTTTTCTTGGAATTTTTGCCCAGAAACCAATTATTCTACACTAAAAAAAAAAAAAAAAAAAAAGGGCTGGGGATGTGGCTCAAGCGGTAGCGCGCTCGCCTGGCATGCGTGCGGCCCGGGTTCGATCCTCAGCACCACATACCAACAAAGATGTTGTGTCCACCGAGAACTAAAAAATAAATATTAAAAATTCTCTCAAAAAAAAAAAATACAGAAAACATCACAAGGTCCTGTCCCAAGTGACTGCTTTCAGCAGAAGGAATATAACAGTGTAGGCATTTATATCAATGCTCAACCTGGCCTCTACAAGTTACAAGAGGGAGATAGCTAGATCTGAGTCCTTAGCCAACCTCACTCTCCAGGTACAGAGAGGATATGGCCACCCTCATAAACTGACCTCAAACACTGCATTTCTGCCTAAATTCCTATCCCCTGGGCAAAAGGGTCACACACTAGCCAGGCCAGTAGGATCCCTTAGAACTAGAGTATGTTAGTCAGCTTTTTGTCACTGTGACCAAAAATACCTGACAAGAACAACTTAGAGGAAGAAAAGTTTATCTGGGCTCATAGTTTCAGAGGTTCAGTCCATGGTGAGCCAACCCCATATCTCTGTGCCTGACATGAGGCAGAGCATCATGGCAGAAGGTCATCCAAAGAAAAGCTGCTCAGCTCATGACAGTCAGAAAGCAGAGAGAGAAAGTGAGGTGCCAGGGACAAGATGTAATCCCTAAGGTCACTTCCCCAGTGACCTGCTTCCTCCCACTATGCTACGGTTACCTCCTTGTAGTCCATTTAAATTACTAATTCATCAAATCCACGGATGAAGTCATAATTTAACCATTGCACCTTTGATCATTGCCACATTACCTAATGCACAAGCTTTTAAGAGGGACACATCCTAGAGCTAACACAGAGCTAACAGAGGAAGGTCTCGCTAAGCTCTTCTAGGAAAGCCAAATGTGAGGGGCCTGGTCCAAAACCGAACAGAAGAGTCCAAAGAATCTATAGATCTAAGGTTTCAAAGACAGATTCTAGAGTGGAGAGGCAGAACCACAAAAAATACAGAGGCCAGTTCTGGGGGTGTAGTTCAAAGGCACGGCGATAGCTGAGCACGTATGAGGCCCCAAGTTCATTCCCCAGTACCACAAAATATAAAAATAAAAAGGAAAGGAAGGAAGGAGAAAAGGAAAAAGAGGACAGCTGTCCAGAATCAGCAGTGGTAGTTCTGATTTAAAGCCTAGAACAAGCTATTTCTCTGGTGCTGTCTTTTTTTCTGCCTGAGGTAGATGGAAGGAAACAGCTGAAAACAGCCAGAGAGCTGTTTAGCACTCACCTCTGAACCATCATTTTACATCAATACCAAGTCCTCAGGGTACGTGAATAATGACAGATGGTATGAATGGAGTCAGTTCAACCCTGCTCAGAGCCCCGTGAACTTAGAAACGCTATTCACAGTTTCAACATGCTTTATGGACATCTCCATACCTAGCTAGCAAAGGCAGAAATTCACAGAACTGAAGACTCAAAAGATTTCATATTTCAATTCAAGAAATATGCATTGGGCACCATGACAACCAACATGATTTTTGCTACAGACATATCTTGGCTTGAATTTTATTTATGTACTTGCTCTTTTGGTTGGTGGTAGTGGTGGTTTTAATTTGTAAAAAGAAAAAACTAAAAAGAATCGGAAAATACCAAACTAAAAAGCCTGGGTTTGTGGCTGGGGTTGTGGCTCAGCGGTCGTGCACTCACCTAGCACATTCGAGGCCCTGAGTTCAATCTTCAGCAGCACGTAAAAATAAATAAATAAATAAAGGTATTTTGTTCAACTACAACTAGAAAATAAATGTTTAAAAAATAAAAAGCCAGGTTGGGGATGTGGCTCAAACGGTAGCTCACTCGCCTGGCATGCGTGCAGCCCGGGTTCCACCCTCAGCACCACATACAAACGAAGATGTTGTGTTCGCCGAGAACTAAAAAATAAATATTAAAACTCTCTCTCTCTCTCTCTCTCTCTCTCTCTCTCTCTCTCAAAAATAAATAAATAAATAAATAAATAAATAAATAAATAAATAAATAAATAAATAAATGAAAATAAAAAGCCTGGGTTTATCTTCCACCCTGTTAGTTATTAAAACATTTAGAGTGACCGATGTCACAGGACCGAGGGACTCCGGAAACCCATGATTTTAAAATCAGGGGCTTCCCAGGCCAACTGGAATAAGCTGTTCACGTGATGGTCAAACGTTTAGCATGTTCCTCCACTTAAATGTAGAAAACCAAGCCCACTTGGACCTCAGTTTCACTCTCAAAGGGGAAATACCCAATCTGCAGCCATGCTACCCCCTGATATCAGAGTGCTCAAGCAGCAGATACCAAATAAATTCTCTCAAAAAGGGTTTTGGGCTGGGGATATAGCTCAGTTGGTAGGGTGTTTGCCTTGCATGTACAAAGCCTGGGTTCCATCTTCAGCACCATAAAAAAAAAAAAAAGGTTCCTATGATAATAGTAACAGCTAATCACTGGTGGTCACGTACTAGGCCCCAGCCACGGTTCTAAATGGTTCACTCAAATTATCTCATTAATCCTCCCAAAAACATCGTGAGGTATTATTACTACACATTTTATAGACAGGGAAACTGAGGCTCAGAGAAGTTAATTTTCTCAAGGTCACACACTAACATCTATTCTTTTACAGTTGACGGTGAGCTTTTAAGATGTTAAGTCAGATCAAGTCATGCCTCTCCTTGAATTCTCCAGTGAATTCTCATTTCACTCAGTGTAAAATCCAAAGTCCATATGATGGCCAAAAACACCCCACATGGGCCCAACTCCCAACCCACTAATGTGTCTGATCTCATCTCCTAATACTCGTCCCCTCACTCCCTGGGCTCCAGTGCATCACCAGTTCTTTCAATGTGCCAAATAAGCTCCCACCTCAGGGCCTTTGCACATATTGTTCCCTCAGTTTGCATGTGCTCATTCTTTTATTTCCTTTGTATAGGCTCATTTTTTTTTATTTTCCTTTTATTTTCTCTGCTCAAATTGTCTCCATTGACGACTTTATGGAAAATAGCAAACACAAACTAATTTGCTCTCCTCTCTCCCAAACACACACACAAGAACACCTACATATCTGTGGTGTGTGTGTGTGTATACACACACACATATACATATAAGTGTATGTATAAATTATATATACATATACACATACATATATGTATGTATATAATACATATATGTAAATACCATATATATGTATATATTTATATATGCTACTCACTATCAGTTTCTTCACTACCCATAAACTTGATACAATACCAAGAAAAAACTTGACTTGGGGCTGGAGTTGTGGCTCAGTGGTTGAGCACTTGCCTTGAAAGTGTGAGGCACTGGGTTCAATCCTAGCACCTCATAAAAACAAATAAAGGCATTGAGTCCATACAGAACTAAAAAAAAAAAAAAAAACTTAAAAAAGAATAAATTTGACTTGATGTGATCAGGGAATTAATCTGTTTTCTTCACTGCCCTGTGTCAGTACCTAGAATACAGAAGTCCATTAAATGTGTGACAAATGAAAAAAAAATCAATGAAAAATCCACAACTCAAACCTAAACAGGCTGACTTTGAAGCCTGAGCTCTGAATTCGGGTCTCTACCACCTCCCTTCCTAGACAGAGGATCCCATCTTGAGAACAAAGCTCATCTTAGGTGAAATTCTAAGATATTACAGTGTCCGTCAGGTGAGCAGAACTGGCTTGGGATGTAGCTCTCTGGCAGAGCATTTGCCTAGCATGCATGAGGCCCTGGGTTCCATCCGCAGCACCACAAAACAGTCATGTACCAAATCCTACATCATTGCTGAACATGAACAGAACTTCAAGAGAGCTTTGGTAAGGCGGTTTGAACTCCTTGCTTTATTTCTGTTTGCCACTTACCTTAATTAGAATGTTCAAAGAGGTTTTATAAGGCTTGAAATCCGAGAAGAGTGTAACAACCCGAAACTTCACTTCTTGCTTTGGCTTATAGAGCATCTTGTCTGTTTGAATAAAGACAGATATTCTCTTGGTCTCAAATGATAAGCGCGTACTATCAGAGAATAAAATCTCATTCTGGGCATGTCCAGTTACACGTAGCTCATAAATCTCCTCTGCACTGTTCAAAGGTAGCTGTGGTGGAGAGGAGATAAGATATATCAAGGTCTCATATTTTACCTCAAAAATGTCTTAATTATAGTCTAGGATAGAAAATTTAAATACACAGTATTATCAGAAGTAACTGCAATGTTGAACAATTTGCTCCTCCTGGGCACCAAACAATTTGTTTTCCTTTTTTAACATCTGATAGTTTGCTCTCCGATTATATCAAAGGGTTTCAGGAAGACAGGACACACACCCCACAGCTCGCTCCCTCTCAGCAAGAGACAATTTGCTGCTTCCAACTCCACTTGCAAATTATTCTCCCCATCAGTTATTAGGGGTCAAAATCCCTCAACATCCCCAACATCCTTTCTGTGCTTGCCCTATTCAAGACAGTCCACCCATGAAAGGCACATTTGCATTGTCTTCCTGCATCTTGTTCATTATGTGTCAGTCTCAGTAAGGATGATGGTGCTGCTAATTGCATTACTATTATTAATAACAGAAACCCTACTTTCTACCATTAACAGACGAGAAACCATACTAAACAGTTTACTATATCATTCTACTTCAATCCTTTAGTAGATGCTTAGACTAAAACCATTCCACAAACAAGGAAACTAGGGCTTAGATGAGATAAAGAGGTTTCTCCAGGTCGCTAGCCCAGACACAAACCCAACATGAGCTATACTATTCTAAAAAGAACCTTCATTGCTGAGGGTGGTGGTACACACCTGTAATTCCAGCCACTCAGGAAGCTAATACAAGAGGATCACAAGTTCAAAGACAGCTTAGGCAACCTAGTGAGATCCCATCTCAAAAAATAAAGAGGGAAGGGATGTAGCTCAGTGGTAGAGCACCTCTTGGTTCAAATATCCAGTACTGAAAAGAAAACTTCATGTAGTGATTTTAAAATATGTTCAAGAGTCTTTAACCTTTCTCCCTTCAAAAGGTGGAGTCTAGGGCTCAGGATGTAGCTTAGTGATATAGAGCCAATCTAGCATGAGCAGAGCCCTGGATTCAATCCACAATACAGGGAAAAAAATGTGAGACTTATTCTCCAGAATTCACTATGAAATTCTTTAAGGTTTTTTGTACATTTGAAAATTTCATAATAAAATGTTACCAAAAAAAAAAAAAATAGGGGCTGGGATTGTGGCTCGGCGGTAGAGCGCTCGCCTAGCACGGGCGGGACCCAGGTTCAATTCTCAGCACCACATAAAAATAAAGGCATTGTGTTGTGTCCATCTACAAAAAAGATTCTCTCTTTCTCTCTCTCTCTCTCTCTCAAAAAATAATAATAATAATAATGCTGCTTTCAAGTAACCTCTGGTACTAATTTTTGCTTTTTTTCAATAAATAAATATTTATTGAGCATCTCCTATGTACCAGGTTGTCCTAGGCATTGGAATACAACTTGAACCAAAGGCCCGTGCCTTCGAGGAATTGAGAGTCTAGTCTTGCATTTTTATATTCTATTTTCTGAAGTGATATTTCAGTCCTCTGATTATTTTAGTCAGATTCCTTAATACTATAAGCAAGAAAATATACATTATAAATTTTTATAAATATTTCTTATGCAAAAATGAAATACTTGAGCCAGGCATGCCATGCAAACCTGTAATCCCAGTGGCACAGGAGGCTGATGGAGGAGGATTGTAAGTTCAATTTCAATTGCAAGCCTCAGCAACTTCACAAGACCCTTAGCAACTCAGAGAGACCCGTTCTCAAAATAAAATAAAAGACTAGGGATGCAACTCAGTAGTAAATCACCTCTGTGTTCAGTCCCCAGTACAAAAAAACAAAAGATATTTGATGACATTGCTCTTTATAATTTGGGTATAGTTTGATTACTTTAGTGGCACAGAGCCCCAGAACAGATGGTAGATTAAATACTAATGTTAAATTAATGATGCAGAAGTGCAGAGGCTTCTTAACCACAAGGAAGCCAAAGAGTCAGAGAATTAGAATTAACACAAATATGCCCCCAAAACATTTTCCTGTGCTCCCTTCTCCCTCCTCCTTCAGGGAGCTGACGCTGACTCCAAGGGAGATGTTACTGCCCATCTTTTTTTGCTCCTTTTGGCTATCATAACTAGTTCACTTTTTCAGTTTTCCCCCATTATAAACCCCACTTGACCATACATAAGACTTAGGTAATTTGGCAGCCTCAAAGACTAAGTGCTAATCCCAGTGCTAGAAAGTCAGAATTATGACATGGGCCTTGGCACATGAATAGACTCTCTTTCTGCCAGACCTGGGATGGGTTGTAACCTGCTTTCCACAGCAGACTGGACACTCTGGGGCACAGAAGTTCATGCATCTATGCTGGTCAATTGCCTTCTGCTTTCTTGGGGCCACTTACTAAAAAAGGGTTTCCAGAATGGGTAATAGTGCAGTCCCCTGATAAAAGACGTCCATATCTCTTATAAGGGAATCAGTATTTTCCCATGGATATTTGGGACTCCTGTTCCTTGACCTGAGGGAACAGAGCTGGAGGAAGGTAGAGAGAGGTTGCCAAAGTTGGAAACTGTATGGCAGCCAGACAAAGTGTAGGAGTTGACAGTATCAAGAGGATCTTATTGACAAAATATCAGCCTCTGAGCTGAGTTGTTGATTCTCAATTATGCTAAGCCTATTCTGTGCATCCTTAAATGCAATCTGTCTGAGTCAATGATAACTTTCTGCCCAGGGTACATAAGAAAAGCAAGCTCAAAAGATCCTTGGTGGACAGAAAATAAGCACAACTCATTCTAATCTGAGCTCTTTCCCTCCACTGACAGATTCATTGCACTAAGGAAACCTGAAATGACACAACAGTGTTTATCTTTATTTACACATGCCAGTTACTAAAGAATTAGAAGACAAATTTTTAGGTAAAATTGACAAATTTAAGGTTGGGCATGGTGGTACACTCCTTTAGTCCCATTGGCTTAGGAGGCTGAGGCAGGAGGATCAAGAATTCAAAGCCAGCTTCAGCAACTGGGAGGCACTAAGCAACTCCGTGAGACCCTGTCTCTAAATAAAATATACAATAGGGCTGGGGATGTGGCTCAGTGGTTGAGTGCCCCTGAATTCAATCCCAGGTAACCCTCCGCAAAATTGATAAATTTAAGATGATAGTTTTTAATCAACTTTATTTAAAATAAATTTTAAAAACACTCCCTCATTTTAAGTTGGATTCATTACCATGAGAATAAGAGAAATCTTTCTGCCATATTTTATTTTTTTTTGAAAGAGTGAGAGAGAGTGAGAAAGAGGGAGAAAGAGAATTTTTAATATTTATTTTTCAGTATTTGGCGGACACAACATCTTTGTCTGTATGTGGTGCTGAGGATTGAACCCAGGCCACACGCATGCCAGGCGAACGCGCTACCACTTGAGCCACATCCCTAGCCCTCTGCCATATTTTAAACAAAAAAATAATCTTTATATTAAGCACCAATTATGTTTTTACTTTCTTCTTATTGAGGGCTATATATCAAAAGAGAAACAATGACTAAATCAGATAAGACACGTTTATTTTAATGCACTCTTAAAATATACATTTTGCAGTAAAAAGTCATAAAGACCTTTAAAAAAATAATTTAAAATATTACATTTACAAACATCCAAATGCAGGTACATTTTAAAAGTTGGGTCCACTTTAACTGAACACCCATGAAAATACAGACTCTTCTATTTTTGCCATGTATTATCAAAGTTGCCCAGACATTTTATGACTAAGTCTTTAAAAATCTGTTCTACTAAAAAGGGAAATACTCCTAAATATAATCTCTAGTAAAGCTTTTAATAAATAGTTGCTATAGCTACATAGAATGGAAATGGCATATTTAATATTAAAAACGTAGGGTTTGTAGTTAGTATTTCATAAACTTAAGATTTAAAAAATAACTCTAGTAGTCAAATTTCTAGCTAGGGACACTCCAGACAAGCACGGTTTAAACCACGTGGTACTACTTGCCCTGCTTCCTCCTGTTTCCTGCTTTTCTACACTTCCAGCCTGTGAAAATGCAGACTCTTGAGGAAACCAAATAGTTTACTGGGCATCAAGCTATGATTCCTGAACTTAAATCTCTCTCTCCTTCTGCTACAGAGCAATTATGATACACAGAATTTATTTTAATTTCACCACCAGCCTCCCTTTTCAGCAGTTGTGCACACAGAATCTACTGTTTTAGGTTCTATTAATGCCAGCTAATGATCAATTGTCACAAAGATTATGGTGGGGCGGGGCATCCCACTTCTGCCTGTTCATGCCTTTTCCTCACCCTCCCTCTACTCTCTATTGTTAGCAGAAGTGTGTGTGTGTGTGTGTGTGTGTGTGTGTGTATGTGTGTGTGTGTGTGTGTTATGGTGCTGTTAATTGAACCCAGGGGTTCTAGCCCAAACTAGTTAAGCATTTCCTTTGTTCATTGGTTTTGTTGTTGTTCTTTGTTTGCTTGTTTATTTTTCTTTTTCTTCATGCATGAAAGCATCTTGTTAAATTGTCCAGGCTGGCCTGGAACTTGAAATCCTCCTGCCTCAGCCTCCTGAGTAGTTAGGATTACAGGTACATGCCACAGTGCCCAGCAAGCAACTGCATATTTCTCAGTAAGAAAAGTACAAACACAAATATGTTAGAAACTTAGTTGATAAGACATATTAAGTAATTTTTATAAATACTGTTTGGGACACAGTATTCTCTAGGAATCCCCCAAAATGAACGTGGTTTCCGAAATGTGCTAAACAAATAGCCATCAAGAAGTAATAAGTGAGCCAGCTAATGAGGTAATACTGATCCTACTCAAGTATATAATATGTCAGGGCCAAAGTCATTAGTCATCTAGTCTCAGAAAATCATCAAATTGTGCCTCTTATTGAATGATGAGGTCTAGTCCACTGTACATTAACTGCCTGAAAATCTGGAACAAAGCACAGTTATTAAAACATAGACTTCAAAATCAAAGCCATGGGAAATAGGATGAGTTCATAAACAACATATAATAATAAGGTCTGATGGCTCTCTCAACAAAATAATAACCCCTTTCCATTTCTGTAGTAAATTTTACGATGCTTTCACATCTTATTTCACTCCAAGGCATCCCTATGAGCCACAGACTATCTTGATCCCTTTTCTAGGGCCAGGAATAGAGTGAGGTGAGTCAGGCACTTAGCTCAGAGGCAAAATTTGAGGGGTACCAAATGACTCAATAACCAAGAAAATAATATGTAATATAATATTTTAAAATATCAAAATTAATACAAAGAAAATATTATAACCCCAAAAAGTCAAAACTTTAACAAAGATAGGACCAGTATTACTGGCTTCTTTTGCCTCAGATTCCAAAATGGTTCCCATGGCACTACCCTCTTCAAAGACAAAAAAAACTAAAGAGAAGAGTATTTATTACACATTCAAGACTGTAAGGCTCATTAAGGCATCAGGGAACAAAATACAGTGAACTTTTCTATTTCACAAAAGGAAAATCCCTGCTAAGAGTCTGAAGAACCTAACAACCAATAGCACTAAAATAACAGTATTCTTAAACAATCCAAAGGCTAATCTTGACTCACGGCAAACTTCCAAGAAATGTATATAAACACAAAAGCCAATTAAATATTAATTTATTCAGCTCACTGAGGCAATGTGTTTCTGAAACCAAAAGTTGCAAATGAATACTTACTGCTGGAAGAGTAAGTGTCCTGAAAGAACCTAAAAGAAGAACAGGAAAGAAAGGAGATTTGTCATAATGTGAATGTGATACTACAACACAAAATTCATAACACTCTTAGATGTAGATGGGATTATAAATGCATTTGGTCAAACCAAAACAATTTTATTCATGCCCAGAATATACTAGAAATTATCATATATCCTTGTGCCAAAGACCTAAGGATCTCAATTAAAAAGACATCAGTGAATGAGCCCCCAAAACAGAAGATCTGATTCTCTTGCCATTATTATTTGTTCTCATTGCTGCTAGGCTCTCATCGCTGTCCTAAGGTAGTATGCTTCTGAGGGACACTTCATAGAACATACAGGGGAACCTGCGGTTGGGGAGTTCAAGAAGAGGGTATTTTGCTGTTGAGGGACTTTTTGTTTTGTTTCTTGTTTGTTATATGTGGTGCAGGGAATTAAACACAGTCTAACGCATGCTAAACATGTACTCTACCACTGATCTACACTCCCAGCAATGTGGGTTTTTATAATATTTTTTTAGTTGTAGGTGGACACATACCTTTTTTTTTTTTTAATGTGGCGCTGAGGATCAAACCCAGTGCCTCAGACATGCCAGATGAGTGCTCTACTGCTACAGCCCTAGCCCCAGCAATGTTTACTTTTTATGTTCTCAATCTCGTGATAAAGAAAGAAAAGGAAGACATTAGTCATGTCAAGGAGGAGCTGAAACTCACCACTGACTCACGAGTATTAGGTGGTACAGATGTTTTTGCATAGAGTTTCTAAACATAGGACTGCTACTTTAATTCATACCAATTTCTCATCATATCCATTTATTTTGAGGTAAAAATGGTTTCAAGTTAGAAATTAAAAAGTATTTATCTGAGGTTCCCAATCAGAGGTGATAATAGGACCTCTTTTCCTTGATTAATTTAAAAACTATATCTTAAAGATACCAAAATTAACAAGACAGATATGATCCCTCTCCTCCTGGAAGCCACATGGGTTTATCATGTGGGATCAGAGAGGCACTAAAATGTGGCACAGTACAGAGCAAAAGTTTAAAAATGGCTTCTGAAGTCAGATCTCACAGGTTCTATCATGAATCTGCCATAAGCCAACCCTATCTTTGAACAAGTTACCTGGTTCTCTAGCCCAGTGTTTTCATCCATAAAATGAGGATGTTGGTAATCACACCAACCTCATAAGGTGGTAGTGAGGTGGTAATTGATGCCTGCAAAGTGCACAGAACAGATCCTGACGCATAGGCAACAGCTGATGTATGTTAGAAAGCTTGAAGAGTTTTCCACTGGGAATGTCAGCATGCCTCTACAACAATGTTCTTCAAACCTTTATAATGAAGCACTCCATAAATAAAAACATTTAATACACATTACCCATGTCAAACTAGATTCACAAAGTTATGTACATGTGTTTTCTCAAACTATCAAATATTAGAAAACCTTAATTTCATAGTTTTTCTCAACTTTAAAAATGAAAGTACATTTTCTACCTTAACTCTTATAAATAATCTTGTACAGATGGTCGCACACCACCACAAAAGACCACAGCCTCCGTGGAACTCAAGGAAACACAAACACATTTTCAGGAGCAGGCAAGAAAGTTATCACCATCATTTGTCACTCAGCATAAATCAGTTTATCTAACTGTCACCATTGACAGTTGGTGGAGAACGCTGGACAAAACATGTTTTAGGAAAGTGAAAAATATAAATATATTCCACAATGAACAGATAGAGAGGGGGTGAATGGGGAGCATTTAGAAGGAATGGAGGGAGAACACCTAGAGAAAAAGATGCCAGCATCTACCATTCTAAGATAGGAGAAATCAGCAAGGTGAGGAAGGACAGGAAGCCTGCTCCAGGCAGAGGAGCAGCAAATCCACAGCAGCAGAGGTCTACAGAAGCAAAGACCTGGTTGGGCCAAGCCACTGGCCAGGAGAGGGCAGCAGAGGTGAGGCTGGCTCTCTGCACAGGGTGAGCCCTTATACCAGAATCCCAAGTGACCCTGTTATCCACATCCTGATATAGCATTTGTCCTGGATTTGTTGTTGTTGTTGTTGTTGTTGTTGTTAGTAAAATGTTATTGTGTGATAGGTTTAATCTGCATATTTGAAATATTTGTATTCTTTTTGATAGGTAAAATTGCATATATTTATGGTGTACAGATGTTTTGATACATATAATTTGTGCAAAGGCTAAAAAGCTGATTAATATATGCATTACCTCACACATTTCTCATTTGTTTGTAGTAACAAAACTTAAAATCTACTTTTTTAGCAGGTTTCAAGTATATAAAATACTGTCATTAATCACCATAACCATGACGTACAATAGATCTCCTGAACTTACTCCTCCTGTCAAATGGAAATTTTGTGTTCTTTGACCAACATCTCCCGAAGACCCCAGCCCAGCCTTTTATAAACATCATTTTACTCTCTGATTCTCTAAGTTCAATATTTTAGATTCCACATATAATGAGATCATGTAGTATTTGTTTTTCTGTGCCTGGCTTATTTCATTTAATATAATACCCTCAGATTTATTCATGTTGTCACAAATGACAGAATCTCCCTTTCTAAGGCTGAACTGTATTCCATTGTGAATATACACCGCATTTCCTTTATCCCTTTACCTACAGATGACAGACAGGTTGATTCAATGTCATAATCACTACAAGAAATGTTCCCATCGGGGCTGGGGATGTGGCCCAAGCGGTAGCGCGCTCGCCTGGCATGCGTGCGGCCAGGGTTCGATCTTCAGCACCATATACCAACAAAGATGTTGTGTCCGCTGAGAACAAAAAAAATTAAATATTAAAAATTCTCTCTCTCTCAAAAAAAAATGTTCCCATGAACAAGGGAGTGCAGATGTCTTTGACATGCTGATTTCAAATCCTTTGTATATATACTCAGTTGTGCTTTGAGAATATCTCAATGGGGTAGGGTGCTCTGTGCATTAAGGTTTTATTTTTAATAGAATAAATATATTCCACAATGAATTGAAATCAAATTAGAAAGCCCTAGGGTGCTGTAGCAACTAAACTTTGTATATCCTTGGAAAAAAATACAGCCAATTTACTTAACAAATTCTGTCTTACAAAATATTTGTTAGGTTAAGTGTACGGCTGAGTAGTAGAGTGCTTGCCCAGCATACACAAGGCCCTTCCATGAGAGAAGTATGGTGCTCTGCAAGCGAAAGGACATGCCCTGTGAAAGATTTGGGCTGAAACAATTGAACATTTCAATATAGCAGGAAAAATAAAATTCTTAATAGGTATCTCATTACATTTTGGAGAAAATGTTTTCTCAATTAAAAATATTATGGCCAGACAACCTGGCCATGGACATAAATAATGGGTAACAAGATTCAAGATTCAATGAGCATGCTGCTATGTAATTAAATAAATGGTTAAACAAGGGAGAACAGAAGTTCTTACTTATCATAAAATCTCATCTAACAAATACAGACAGAATCCTGGAATTAGAAAATTTCACAACTATCACAGAAATATTTGATCAGGCAATAATCATCAATCTAGTAAGTACAAATAAGCTGAGTAAGAATATACCCCATTTGATTCAAAATAATAATAATAATAATAATCAAATGGTGACAGAATAAAAGATGAAAAGTAAAAAAAAGAATTATAAGAAATAATAAACCACTATTGTTTTAAACTAATAAATTTGGGGGTGGCTTATTTCATGAAGATAGGTAACTGGAACACTTGTGAAACAAGATTAACTAGCAACCTCTAAAGCTGGGAGGTCCTATGTGGTACCCTCTGGCCACATGTGGCTATTGAGCCATTGAAATACACAGCACTTATAAAATACACCCCATATTTTTAAGACTTAGAACAAGAGTATAAAATGCCTCATCAATAATTTCATCTATGTTGAACTGTTATTTGTAAATTATTGGGTTAAAGTATATTATTAAAATTAATTTTACTTGTTTCTTTTTACCGTTTTAAATAGAGCTACTAGAAATTTTTCAATTATTTATGTAACAGTGTCCACTTTGTGCTTTTAGGCGTTTCCTTCTCTTCCTCCTTCCCTGTTCCTCCCTAATCTCTCCCCTCCCTAATCTCAGGGGACACAGGATTACCTTTCTTTCCCATTTTAGGCAGATTTATCTGTTCTTGAGTACACACTCATCATAGCAAGGAAATAATCCAGACTTGGGGGATGGTACCAGAAGATCTCAGAAATGACTACTTCCTAAATTAACAAGTAAATTACAACTCCAACAGAGACCACGTGAAATGTAGCTTTTGAATGGCTCTTTTAAAGGCCCCCTTGTTACCCTGATGGATAGAATCACAGCCTCTGAGACAGGAGTCGCATGTTTCTCCTTTGCTAGCAAAGCAATAAATCATTTTCCTTTTTCTCAAAACCGTGTCCTCATTATTGAATTGGCATCAAGAACAAGGCCCGAGCTTTCAGCAAGACTTATGTAGTTATTATACTTCTATTAGACAGCCCTAGCCTAAAGGATATAACACTTAAATCTTTACTTAGAAGCAGAGCTGATAGAATACAATTTTTTAATTTTGTGAATAAAATAATAATATTATTTATAGAGTTCTAAAAGCTTTGCCTACATGAACTGGTTTAATCCTCACAACGATTATATTTTACAAATGAGAGCCTTGAGCCACAGAAATGTGAAGAAACTCACTTGGGATCACACAGACTAGAGTGATGGGGTCAGGGCTCTGACAAGGCAGCCAGGCTCCTGGGTCTGAGCTGTCACCGCTCTGCCCTGACTCTCAGTACAAGAAGCAGTTACACTCTCGTACATACCTTCATCTACTGTCAAAAGTCCACAGCCTGGATAGCCTATGTGAATGCAGTCAGCCCTCACTTCCTTGATCACAGAGGTTAAGAATCTCAGTCATCCTAAACTCCTTTCTCTCCTCAACTCTATGTTAATCAGTCATCAGAACCTGTGGATTCAGGAGCCTATGCTGCCCTTTCCAAAAGGTGGGAAAAGGGCAAAGCTCTGA